CAGCAGTGGGGTAAAGATTCATGGGGACTTAATTTTGGTTTTTGAGTGGGATGGGTGGGGACTGAATCATCAGCATGGAAGATGAGGGTGGGGTTTAGCGGTGAGAGTTTTTTGGAAGAAGGAGGGATGAGAAATTAAAACCAGTCTTCCTGTTTATTTTTAGGCATTAAATAAATGATCTCATCTAATCCTAACCACCACCCCATATTAGGAAAAGTCAAATCATTGTCCAAGGTCACACACTAGTGAAGTCATAAAGCAAAATTTTACCCACCCAGGGACAAGTCTGCTCTAGAATTCAGAATCCTTGTCTGAGAATATTATCTATTTCTCTGGCAAAATTCTCTTCCAAGGTTTCCTTTTAACTTTTTTTTCAATCTTCCTCATCATTCTGAATATCAATGGTTTTCAGTTAATAGCAACCACTGTTAAATGTAAAAACCCCACAGCACACCACAATGGATTCATTTATCCATTCGCTCATTCTTTCAAAATATTGAATGTGCAGCTACTAAGTGCTGGGCACCATGCTAGGTGCCGGGGATTCAGCAATAAAAGAGAAAAAGAGAGTCAGGATGCTTGTGCTTTTATAAGTAGGCTGAGTATTTTTACTCTTTGTTACTGCTAATAGCTCTGAAGGTTTCAATCAAGCTTAAAACATTCTGTCTGAAAGATTCCTATGAGAATCTTCTTTACCTAATTATTTATTGAAGACCTACATTCCAGTCTCCTGCTAAGGAAATTGATGTACATTTTACTGGATAAACAGAAATATTGTTTGGAATAAAAACAGTGGAAAGACATCTATAGCTAAACATCTCCTGGGAAGTCTCTGCTTTTAATTTCTGGTGTGCACATGGATCTCAGTAAGGGTAGATTAAAGGATCTTCTAATAATTTAGCACTGTTGGCTCAGGACAAGGTTCTGAAAGTAAATCTGGACCTATTCCCTAAGGACACTACAATCACTTTAAATCTAAAGGGCAAGAATGGGGGGCTACCAGAATGCTGGCTGCATCCCAGTGTTACTGCTGGGATGTCAAAGTGATGGGGGAAAGAGCAAAATCTGCAGATGGATGCACCTCCATTTCTTACCCCAAGATACTCATGGATGGATGAGCTGAGGCCAGGTAGTGGCTTGAATTAAATTCCAAGTGCTTCTGGTGTCCTTGCACCATCTGATGGGGACCGTGGGGGCTTGCTTATGGAGCAGAGTCTAGTTTAGCTGTATGTCAATAGGGGCCACTGATGGGAGACTCTGGATGGAAATGGTACCAGGAATCACCAGGTTGGCTCCCAAATGTTGGGGGCTGCCAGGCATGAATCGGCAGGTGATAGGACAGGTCCTGCTGCAGTAGAGCTGTGGGACCACAGGAGATTAATTTTGTTTTCCTTGTGAGGGTGGGGGCTGAATCATCAGAATAGGAGCTGAGAATCATAATGTTTCTGGAAGGAGAATCAACCATGGAAGAATGAAACTGATCTAACAAATTGTTAGGCATTTTCACAATTTAGCTCATTAAATCCTAACCACCAGTTTAGATAAGGAAACCTAGGATCACACACCTGGTGTGCAGCCCAGTGGGGGTTTGAACCCAGTTCTCCCTGACCTCAGCAGAGGTGCTCTTTCCAGCTCTAGTCAGAGAGGTAGGGCATTCCTACTTTCACTTGGTATCTATCCCCTATCTTCCTTCTCAGGCAATTAAGTAATTACAATTTGTAGCAATTCGATTTATTAAACAAAAACAATTTTATTTTACTTCTTTAAAAGATTTTATTGAGAGAGCATGCGTGAGCAGGGGGAGGGGCAGAGGGAGAGAGAGAGAATCTCAAGCAGACTCTGCACTGAGCAAGGAGCCTGATGCAGGGCTCGATCTCACGACCCTGAGATCATGACCTAAGCCGAAATCAAGAGTCTGATGCTTAACCAACTGAGCCACCCAGGCCTCCTTAAACAAAATCAATTTTAAAATCAGAGTAGTTGAAAATTTTATAATCCTTTAAAACATAAGACTCCCACTCTTCTAAAATTAGGGAAAAGTTGTCTTGTACTTACTTATGCAAAGCCTATTACCCATTTTTCTCTCTTTATCGATCATTATGTTTAAGGGAAACAGTGGGTCAGTGGATATATGATCAAAATATTAGAGTTGGAAGGTGTAGAATCTGCAACACCAAGAAGCCTAGTGACTTGTTTAGAATAAAATAGCTAATTCCTGAATGATCCAAATAATGGAGGGCAAGAGTGAAAGTGGGAAAATCCTGAGTTTACAAAGAAAATTGAGTTTCAAAAGTTTGTAAATCAGTTATTCGACATTTAGTATATTTCTTCAATGAAAAGAAAATTTTAGGTAGGAATGCCACCTGATTATCTCATCAGAAAATAGCTGAAATCTATTATTTGTACCCAAGAAGAGTACAACAATCAACCCCAAATTATTATGCAGTAGTTAAATTTAACACAATATAAAGACAACACAATATAAAGACAACACACTGAGTGAGAAGGATTTTGATTTTAAATGCATGAAAGAGAAGCTTAGGAGGATGAACGAGTTAACTGAAGGGTCTGGTGGAGATTCTGAGAATGACTTGGACACTGATCAGGGCCTTTTGGAAATGGATAATAGATATTTGTTTTTAAGAGATATGAAAGGAAATTTTCTGAGTGCCCACTATTTATTATAACCAGGAGTTTAAAAAAATCAGTCATTCAAAATCCATCAGTTAAATATACCATTCAAAGCAGCATCTAAGTGGCAGTTACTCTTTTTTTTTTTTTAAGATTTTAATTATTTATTTGAGAGAGAGAATGAGAGACAGAGAGCATGAGAGGGAGGAGGGTCAGAGGGAGAAGCAGACTCCCTGTCGAGCAGGGAGCCCAATGGATGCGGGACTTGATCCCGGGACTCCAGGATCATGACCTGAGCCGAAGGCAGTCGCTTAACCAACTGAGCCACCCAGGCGCCCCTAGTGGCAGTTACTCTTTATGCACTTTTCCCTCCATGCACAAAAGAGCACTTTCCTTCTTTTGGTTTTGCTGTTCACCTAACCAGGGACCATCCTTTCTTTTCTTCATTGCCCTATAAAATATCCTCCAAGTCCAATTCAAATGTCATATCACTTTTTAGAATCCCCTGACAAGATATTAGTGGTCCTTCCTCTGAAACCAGTTGCATTTTGATTGCATTTCTTTTATGATGTACACTTTGTCTCTTGTTTTAGTTTTGGGGTGCCCCGTAAATAGTGGTCAAATACAATTAAATTGTAATAATTCAGGTTTCTCCTCAAGAAATGCCTTCGGACCACCTTTGCAAAATAATGTTCCCACACCCTCAGTCCCTAGTCCTGCTTTATTTTCTTTATAGCATGTATCATACTGGACATAATAGATATTTGTTTATTGCCTGTCTCCTCCAACAGAATTTCTGACCTACTTTGTTTCATTTCCCCAGCACCTAGAACTGTGCCTGGTCCAGAGTAGGGGTTGAATAAATCGATGTAACTGGAAGTGAAAGAAATACCAACTGGGATATATCAAGACACTGGGTCCGATCATTCATTAGTTCTATCAGTACTAGGCTGCAGGACACAGAGTAAATCATTAACCCATGATGGGCATATCCTTATAGAATCAATAAGATTGTTAGGTCTTATGTCATTTCATTACTCTCAGAGCAGGAAACAAGAGAGGCTATGAATAAATGGAGTTCAGGTAGATGTGTGTGGGAAAAAGAACGTTCTAGGCCAGTTACAGGAGCTACCCTTGGTGAAAGGCAAAAAGAAAGGACAGAGCATAAGTGAGGAGAGAAAGATGCGAAGAAAGGGCTGCCTTCAGGTGCATGGGCCTGTCAAGAATGCTGGGGGAGCTGTGAAGTGGAGAGCTGGGGGACATACAGAGATGTTGGGCTGCTTGAGGAGAGGCTCCCAGAGAGAGGGAAGGCAAGCTAAAAGGGGAGGGTATGTGTATGTTGCAAGCTCCACATACTTTTCAATTTTGGCTCCCTTTCCAGTAAACAAGCCCTCTGCTGTGACTTTGTCAGGGCCTGCTTAAGCACGTGGCTCCCATGTGAAAGCAAATGAGATGTTCTATACCAAGAATCACATTAGTTCTCCATTTAATTTGACAAGGCTTCTTCTTTGTTCCCCAAAGCAGACTAGGTTCTAATCTCTTATCCTGAAACCTCCACAGCATGGCTCTTCTCATCTGAGAGTATGTGATCTTGTCTAGTGTTGCAAGCTTCTCCTCTTGCCTTGTGGCCCCTGCCCTGGAACCTCTCCTCCCCCACATTAGGAGGCCTACGGAGGGCACTATCTTTGCTTTTTCTGTATCAGCCTAGTACAATATCCTGAGTCAGTCTCTGTCTCTCACTCTCTGTCTCACACTTACATATTTCACACTCATGCTTAATATAGAGTATACCTCGAATTTAAGTTTCATTAAAGTTCTAGGGTGGTTTGTAAAATAGGAACGGACCCAGGCAAAGGTTTTGAAATTTCCTACCTAAGCTACCAAAGGGCTATATACATTTCAGAGATGGCCCTGTAAGAAGTAACCACTGGCACTTTCTTTGTTTGTTTACTTAGACACACACTCAAAGCTTCACTCTTTTTTCTATACCGTAGTCAAAGAAGCCCTGTCCTTGGCCACAGCGACCGTCTCGCCTTGCAAAAAGTCAGCTACGCCAAGCTACGTCGGAGCAGCTCTGTGAGGCCACCGTTCCTGCGGCCACGGAGGGAGGAGAAGCCCCAGCGACCCAAAACCCAGAGTCCTGGACAGAGCCCCGACGCCCTTCCCGCTGCGCGAGGACAAGGCAGTCCTGCGGCCCTTCGGTAGCCGCGCCTTGCCCCGCTTCCAGAGCAGGGGCCGCCCGGCCCCACCCAGGCTGCTGGGACTAGGACGAGCAGCGCCCCACGCAGGCGCACTGAGGCCGGGGAAGGGGCGAGGCCGGGGAAGGGGCGGGCCCGGCTCGCGGGGCTGGCGGCGGGAGGGGCGGGGCGGGGAGGGGCGGGTGGTGTTTCCGCTGCTTCGAGTGGACTGAGAGCGGCTGCCTGGAGCCTCTTCTGCTCGCCTCCCTGCCCTGCCCCGCGCGCCGCCGCCCCGCGCTCCGCCGCTCTCTGGGAGGTTCGGGGCACTTAGGTCCCTCTGTCACCCTCGGGTGAGTGCTCGCCTAGCCGGGGGTGGGGGCTGCGTCCGGAGAGGGGAGCTGCGGGGAGGACCGGTCTGCGGCTCGCTAAACCCGCGGTGTCTCTCTTGTCTTGCAGTTTGCATCACCTTCTCCTGACCTGAGCAGTCGCCATGGCACAGGTAGGGCCGTGCGCCCCCAGCGCCGCGCTCGCATTTGCCAACTTTGTCAGCTGTGTCAAGGGAGTTCCAGAATTTGTCTGAAAGCCAAAAAAGTTTAGGAGTAAACAAAATCTGCCTTCGAGAAATCTGTTACACCTTTCCTGTTTCTCCTTTCGTTGCTCCCTCCTCCAACCCCTTTTCTGTGTCCCCGGCTTTTTCCCGTCCAGTGCCCGCCGGAACCTGCCGCGAAGCAGCCGGTGGGGCGCAGCAGCCGGTGACGTGGCCGGATTTGTGTACATTCCCTTTTTGTGAGTGAATGTGTAAAAGTGCGCTCTCCCCCAAATCCAAAGAACCGCTAAAATTAGAACCAGAGCAGGAAAAGCTCTTAGCGGTCAAGTGAGACGAACGCGTTTTTTTCCCCATGTCTGTCTTTTTCTTTCTTTGCATGCCTGTCTTCTTTCCTTCCTTCCTTCCTTCTTTCCTCTCCTCTTCCTTTCCCCCCGTTCGCCTCCCTTCCCCTCTCTTCCTCTCCCTTCCCCTCCCCTCCTCTCCCCTCCCCTCCTTTCCCTGCCTTTTCCTGTATTATTTTAATACTACAAGTGGGCATGGCTTTTTCCAGTAGCGCTCTAGTGAGCTTTTTCCAGTTGCTCAACCCAATTTTACTGAAAGGAACTGTTCCTTGTAGGCACTGCTCCCTCCCCACCCCCCGGGCAAAAGATTAAACGGAAGAGCGGCGTTTCTTAAGTAACTCGTGGAACGAGTTCTAAATTGAATTTGCCTTCGGATTGTTTCAGAACTTGGTTACCTAATATTGGTCTTTTTTGCTCTTAACATTTGTCAAAAATACCAGAAAGGAAAAAATCATTCATATAGCAGTCTTTAAAAACAAAAACAAAAACAAAAAAAACGACCGTGTTGTACAGTATTTTTTGAATAAAATATCAGTGCTAACAACTCCACCGCAAAACTAATTTTACAGATCTCAGCAATCAAACTGGCTTGTCAGAGTCCAGATAATTTTTTTAAAACCAGTTTTTTAACTGCTCAGACAATGTCCTCTCTTTATACTCTTCATTTATTAAATCAAAACAAAACAAACAAAACTGACATCAAAATTAAGTGAGGTTTCAGGGTCCTTTCCAAGAGAACTTGGGAGGATTATGATGACCTGGTAACTTTATTAAATTTCTACAGTGCTTCCATTCTTACTTCCTCTTTTGCACTTAGGAAATATTACAATAAACCAATTCTCCTATTACTTCAAATGGAAACTTTGGTTTAGGTTCTTCCCCATATAAAGAATACTTTTATGTGGAACTAACTTTCCTTCACTAAGAGTTGTTTTTCTTATCTTGATATGCTGGTGTGGGGATGTAAATGATGACTGATCAGGCATCAAAGAATAATTCCCTTTATCCTTGCTCATTTGGCTGTTTCTTGAATCTCTTTTGTAAGTTCACCCAGTGATGTCTGAAGTTTTTCAATCAATTCCTTCTAATTATGTAGACTCCAGATAGCACAAATGAACACGCTTTTCCAATTGTGGACATTAATAATTTCAAACTATGAAAAGTGTAAAGGATGTTATATATACAAAACCTGGGAGAATGGTGGTTTGCATGATAAAATTGGGTGCATGATCTCTATCACAGTACAACTCCAGGACTGTTTTCTATCAAAACCACAGTGTTTAGTCATCATAAAAGTTACAAGTAATGTTAAGAAAGATACAGTGTTGAATTTTGCACTTTGTTATTAGTTCTCCTTGGAAACGATGGAAGTAAAACATTTTGTTAAAAGGTGGTTTTTTTTTTTTTTTTTTTTTTTTAAGATTTTATTTATTGGGACGCCTGGGTGGCTCAGTCGGTTAAGCGTCTGCCTTCGGCTCGGGTCATGATCCCAGTGCCCAGGGATTGAGTCCCGCATCAGGCTCCTTGCTCAGCAGGGAGCCTGCTTCTCCCTCTCCCTCTGCTGCTCCCCCTGCTTGTACCCTTGCTCACTCTCTCTTGCCCACTCTCTCTCTCTAAAAAATAAATAAAATCTTTAAAAAAGAAAAGATTTTATTTATTTGCAGAGAGAGACAAAGCGAGAGAGGGAACACAAGCAGGGGGAGTGGGAGAGGGAGAAGCAGGTTTCCCGCGTGGAGCAGGGAGCCTGATGTGGGGCTCGATCCCGGGACCCTGGGATCATGACCTGAGCCGAAGGTAGACGCTTAATGACTGAGCCACCCAGGCGCCCCCAAATTTTGTTAAAATATTAACATTAAGATAGAGTTTTGTTGTTTTTATACTTACACATTTGATGGGATGCAGAATGCCCACATTAAGGACTTGTAGTTTTACTGTCAAAAAATTCCCAGGGCAGTTGGGTGGCTCAGTTGGTTAAGTGGCTGCCTTTGGCTTGGGTCATGATCCCGGGGTCCTGGGATCGAGCCCCACTTTCTTCTCTTTGCTCAGCCTGGAGCCTGCTTCTCCCTTTCCCTCTGCCTGCCGCTCTGCCTACTTGTGCTGTCTATCTCTCTCTGTCAAATAAATAAATCTTAAAAAAAAAAATTCCCTTGGACCCCAGTGTAATGGTAGGAAAGCTGAAGTAGTTTCAGTGTTAGGTTTCAGACGGTTTCTATGGTAGTGTTTTGTTGACCTGTGGTTATGGGAACCAGAGACCTCCACTCTAGCCATTTGGAAAGTAGTGAAATCAGATCTAAGCCTGAGACTTAGAGGTGCATATTTCAGCCATTTAAAATGTATCATTAAATATTGTCTCTTATTTATTGAAGAATGAAAAAGACTCCCACAGCAGTAATTCTTCATGTTTATAAACTGTACCTCCCATACCAGTGTTTTGTCTTTTTACTTGACCTTGGGACCACCCTGCCAGTCACAGCCTGCAAAGATCCAGGAATCAATTGTATATGTAGCTCGTGGGCGTGACCGTCTTGTTAAGAATTTAAAGAGAAAGCACTGACTGATCTTCAGTAGATAATTGGAGTTTCTGTTTTTATATGAAAAATATTACTAGGGATATTTTATACTCTTGTGTGTATTTACATTAATGTTTTTTGTTTATTTGTTATATAAATAAATTATAAGTTTTATCTCATACTTAATATAATTCATATCATTGCAAATTCTTAAAATTTTACCCTAATGATGTCAGTATAGGGGGACAAATCCATAACAGATATTGTGAACTACATAAAAAGTGATTTATATTATCATGGTGAGTAAATACATTCAGAGCTGGGGGTATTTGTGGAATAACCACCCCTTGAGCTCTGCCCTTCTCTCTCTGGTCCTAATCCTCATCCACTAGCATTGACACATGTGGGGGTCTACCAGTTGACTATTATTATGGAGCGAAGTAGTCTAACATGAGGCTTCCCAGTCTTTCTCAAAGATAACACACTGGTTGACTGTATCGAATCACAAATGTACCTGCATGTAAACAGTTCCTGGACAATATTTATTTTTTTTATCTTTGAAATGATTCATTTGAATGGTTTTGTATTTATCTGATTTGGAACCACAGCACCCATATTGTTTTAGAATAAACTTTGCTAAATGAATGATAAATTATTATGATTCTTAGATCACTAATGTTTTCTAATGTACTAAATTTGGGTACAAGCTAGTTCAAGATATTTACTAAGGAATGGCCAGAGAGCTGTTAATTGCCTGAATTATCTATATAGAGTATAATATTTTTTGAATCCTTTCATCTTTTTCTTACAACGGTCAACTTGTGATTATATAAATGTGACTTTTTAAAAAAATTTTTTATTGTTATGTTAATCACCATACATTACATCATTAGTTTTTGATGTAGTGTTCCATGATTCATTGTGTATAACACCCAGTGCTCCATGCAATTAAATGTGACTTTATTTATTTATTTTTTATTTTTTTAAAGATTTTTATTTATTTATTTGACAGAGAGATAGAGAGAGAGCACAAGTAGGCAGAGAAGCAGGCAGAGAAGCAGGCAGAGGGAGAGGGAGAAGCAGTCCCCCCCACAGAGCAGGGAGCCCGATGTGGGACTCAATCCCAGGACCCTGGGATCATGACCTGAGCCAAAGGCAGCTGCTTAACCGACTGAGCCACCCAGGCGCCCATATGTGACTTTTTTTTTTAAATTAGTTTTTAGGGTCATTTTTCTCTATTTGACTTAACCATATTTTGGGTTAGATTTCTTAAACTGGATCCTGACCTATTTCTCTCTTATTGCTTAACTTGTTCATGCAGGTTTTTAAAATCTCACTATTGAGCTAGAGCCAAATTATTTCACAGATATTCTAATTTATTTTAGGTACTTAAAAGTACATTTTGTACTTCTGTATTCTTTGGTTTGGAAAAATCAGGAGTTGGCTGTATTTCAAAGATTAATGATCCATTTAATATATTCTAATTCAATTTGAGTCTGTATAATTTTGTTTATGATAACCAAACTTTAAAAAGATAGATTTTGGGGAAGCACCTGGGTGGCTCAGTTGGTTAAGCGTTTGCCTTTGGCTCAGGTCATAATTCTGGAATCCTGGGATGGGAGTCCTGCCTCATTGGGCTCCCTGCTCAGCCAGGAATCTGCAGTTCCCTCTCCGTCTGCCCCTCCCCCCTCCTCGTGCTCTGTCTCTGCCACTCTCTCAAATAAATAAATAATTTTTCTTTAAAAGATAGATTGTGGGCAATCTGAACTTAGCTTTATAATGTTTATAGAGTTATATTTAAAGCAGCAGGAATGTCATGAAGCAAAATGAGGCAACATAATTTTTCACTGGAAACTTCATGAACATCAGATCTCTCCTCCATACATAAATTGTGCAAGGTTTGCTTAGAAATTTTTTTGGTTGGTTTGAAATCATTGTACTGTGATAATTTATAAAGTGTCTGTGCAGAACAAGCAGGATCAATGTAAATAAATAGATTTGAGATGAGGTTCATTCTAGAGGAGTTGACCAGATACTGATTGTATCTTTCCATGCCATTCACTTTAAGGTCAACTCTCTCTTTAGAGATCTCTCTTGGGATCTTAGATCAGGATTACCTATACTGCTTTGGGTTAGTGTCTCTCAGTTCCTGATACCTCCGACTCTTGTTTACATTTTGGATGCTGAGAACTAGATGCAAAACTGCTTGGCTTCTTGGGAAGCCACTGAGCAATTCATTGGCATTCAGCAAATCTTAATTCCCTTATCTAGATCTGGTCCCTTTGGACACAGTTGGAGAGCTAGTGACTTAGAAATTTAAAATGGTAGAAATATAGTATTTTTACATAATAGATCAATTTCTGAAATAAACTTTATTCATATAACCTGTATACTATTCTAAAACTTCACAAACACATTAGTTGATCTTTACAAAAATTAGTGCTCCTAAGACCTTTGCTTAAATGTTTGTTTTTTTTTTTTTGGACCCATCCTTTCAGTTTAGTAGTTTATATAATATGTAAACCTGTATGCAGTTGATTTACTGGAATGAATGCATATTCCAGTTGGTATCATTTCTTTGGACACCTGTTCCTAACTCTTCTCTTTACTTCCCATTCATGCGTGCATTTATGAATGGATGAAGCTTTTGAGTTCCCACTAGGCACCAGGTATTGTTAGACGTGGGAAATAAAAAAGGAAATGGGACAAAAATTTATTGGTATAACAGATGCATTGCTAAGTCCGTTGTATGCATTATTTAGTGCTCACAGTACAGTTTTGGAAATCAGTATTACTATTTCAATTTCACAGAAGAGAAAACTGAGGTCACTTACCTGGCAGTGGTCAGGTGGGCCAAGGAGGAAGGGCATTATATGCAGAGGCAACACCAGCCAGGGTGAATGCTCAGAGGTATAAAGGAGTTTGGCCTGGCCAGGAGCCACAGGCAAGATGATATTGCTGGAGTGAAGCGGTCAGGTGGGGAGATGGAGCCCTGCCTTGGAAAGGGATGCCAGAAAGAGCTAAAGAATATTAACCATTTTGTAGGTGAGGGAAGCTATCAAAGAGTTTTAAGTTGGTCCCGGGCGCCTGGGTGGCTCAGTTGGTTAAGCGACTGCCTTCGGCTCAGGTCATGATCCTGGAGTCCCGGGATCGAGTCCCGCATTGGGCTCCCTGCTCGGCAGGGAGTCTGCTTCTCCCTCTGACCCTCCCCCCTCTCATGCTCTCTGTCTTTCATTCTCTCTCTCTCAAATAAATAAATAAAATCTTAAAAAAAAAAAAAGAGTTTTAAGTTGGGGTGTGCCATGGTTAGATTTGCATTTAACCAAGATCACCCTGGTTCTGGTGTGATGTTGCATTTCTGTGGCAGCAGAAACCGCATGATGGTGCAGGGGGTGGGAGGGAAGGAGAGAGAAGTGGGATAGTGGAAGACCACTTAGGAATCTGCCGCTACGATCCCAGTGAAATCTTAAAGACAAACTAGGCAGTGGCTGGGACTTGAGATAGGAGGGGACTGTCAGAAGAGTAGGCAGATTGGGTGCATGAGTGGGGTGGTCCTTGGTGGTGAAGGGTCCGGTCAGGGTCAAGATGAATGGCTTGCTTGACTGAGTGGTTGATTTGTGTTTTTCTCTGAGAAAGGAATACGGGTTTGAGGTGGGGGGAGAAGGTAGAGTTAGTAGTGGATCTGTTGAATTTGAGTTCCTTATAAAACATTTAAGAGGTGCTGTCTAGTAAGCAGCAGGGTATATATGATCTTTAAATCCTCTTTCATCTCTGTAGGTCATTTATTTATGTATTATTCCTCTTCCTACAACTAAAAATGGTTTGAGGCTAACATTTCCTACCTTTGTGTAGGACCAGCCATGTTTATTAGATTTCTGCCCCTTGTTTAGAAACAAAAGGAAAAAAAAGTTGTGAATCCGTGCACAGTCTTCTCTAATATGAGAAGTCTATAAGCTTGTTTCCTGAAGTATTGGTTAATGAATTGGTTAGTGATACAGCTTTTCAAGTACTATTCATAGAACGCCCAGCTGAACAGTTAGGTAAAACAGAACTGCCCCCCCCCCATTCCCCACCGCAAATGTGTACTCATTGGAGGCTAATGCATTTGCCCACTTTAACTAACTCAAGGCATCACCATTATTCATGGACAGTTTAACTTTCCATTTGTTGGTATTTGCCAAGGGAAGGCATTCTTATACTGTCAGGGAGTCATAGTCATGGGAGCATTAAAGAAACAACAAAAACCTAAATCATACTGACAAAACCTTTATTTCGTTTTCAAAACTTCTTTTCTACCTTTATGTGTAGAACTTAAATTATTTATAGTGATACTTTTCCCCTCTTACACTTGATTTTAAGAAAGGGGTCAAGGTAATGGTTAAAAAACAATTTGAATTTAAGGCTTTGAACTTAACTTTCACCTTTTTTGATAGATTTGGAGCCAGGGTAAGAATTAGGGCTTGAGACGGGTGCCTGGGTGGCTCAGATGGTTAAGCATCTGCCTTCGGCTCAGGTCATGATCCCGGGGACCTGGGATCGAGCCCCACATCGGGCTCCCTGCTCAGTGCAGAGCCTGCTTCTCCCTCTCCCGCTGCCATTCCCTCCGCTTGTGCTCTCTGGCTCTGTCTATCTCTCTGTCAAATAAATAAAATCTTAAAAAAAAAAAAAAAAAGAATTAGGGCTTGAGATCTTATTTCTCACCCCCTATTGTCTATGTTTATACCCCTCAGTCCTCTTGGAGATTCTGGGTTTTTTTCCTTCTGATATTTATTTTACCTTGCAACTTCGATCATAATCATATCATGCCGGTTTTCCCCTCTTTTCCTGCTCATTTTATTTTTCCCGGTACAGTGATTTTTAATTTTTTTTTCTTTGCTCCTCGGTGGGACGCATATTATCACAGGAAATATTAAGGGGCCAGTACTGTGTACATCAGGTAAGACCTGAACTGCTCTGGCTGGGGAGTGAGGCAGGGTTCTGCCGTTGGACTTCCCCGTTCCCCACCTCTCTGGGCAGCCTCCAGAGGATTTTTGTCAAACCTGAGCCTCAGAAGAACCATACTTAAAAATCACCCTGTGGCCGCTTAGCAGTTGCTCAGCTGTAGTGGCTTGCTTCCTGGTTTCCGGCTTCCTGATCAGTATTAAGAGGAACGCTGGGTAGGTGTTTGATTAAGTATTGATTTCCTTAAACTGGAAGACAGATTTAAAGAGGGTTTCGTTCTCTTCTGTGTCTTCAGGAAGGCTTCAGCTTATTTTTTATTTTTTTTTAAAGATTTTATTTATTTATACATGAGAGACAGAGAGAGAGAGGCAGAGGGAGAAGCAGGCTCCCCGCGGAGCAGGGAGCCCGATGCGGGACTCGATCCCAGGACCCTGGGATCACGACCTGAGCCGAAGGCAGACGCTTAACCATCTGAGCCACCCAGGTGCCCCAGGAAGGCTTCAGTTTAAAAGGTTCCAGGCAGGTGAATGTTTTCTCATCTTTAAATTTGAAGTTGTTGTTTCTGTTGTTGTTTTCCTGTTTCTTTAAATTCTGTCTAGGAAAGCAACCCTGCACTTTTTTTTTTTTTTTTGGTTTAATTGTGTTCATTTTATTTTGGCACACCTAGTCCTTGACGGTAAAGAACTTTCTCATTTAGAATAAAGGAACAAAAAAAGACTACAAAATTACAGAGCTAGGAGAGTGGATAATTTTGAAGGTGAGAGTTAAAAGAGTGACTTATATGTTTTGGCCATGTATGGCCTGAGAATATATACTAATGCCCTTGAGAAGACCTTGGTGGCAGGGAGTGAAGGTAACTGAGGAGGAACTGGGGATGGGGGAAGGGAGCAGTACCTACTCACAGTTGGAATTAACCTGGGTAAGGTATAAATGTTTAACTTGAGGCTAGTGGGGCTATAGGAAAAAGGAGAAGCCCTCTAGCATGAGTCATGGAAAGTCACATTTACCCAGTGCAGACAATTTTGTGTGGACTGGGATGGAGTTTGGACAGGATGTCCAAACAAGGTTTCTGCCCTTGTGACTCACGTCTGTGATTCACTTTTGGTCCCTTACTACCACTACTTGGCTTTGGCTAGCTTTGACAGTGACTCGGATCATGTGGAATGTAGCACGTGTTTCCCAATTTCTAGAAAGCTTTCAAAAATACAATCAGCAGTTATTTCTTCTTCAGAGTCAGTCGCTGAGATTCTGAGGATACTTCCTTCCATCTTTCACCTCATTTCCTTCAGTCTCAGGGGTCAGATGTCTTTTTAAGGCAAATCTCTCTTGTCTCCTCTGTTCTTAACCTCTCGATCTACTAGCAACTCCATAGCCTATAAACTGGATAAAGTATTTTTTTTTTAAAGTGAGTTTTTAAAAGAAAAAAAAAACATCATTTGTAAAATCGGAGTTCATGGAGATGCTTTGCCTCACAATTCGCTTTTTTGGTGTCCTCCAGTCATGCTTTTTACCACCATCAAAGACCTCCTCGTTATCAAGTGCAGTGGACCCTTTCACTCTCACCTCCTGTTTGACTTCTCTGTGATACTGGACACTGCCTTTTCTTCTTTTCTTCCTGGAACATTTTTCCCTTTTGGCTTCTCCATGCCATCACCACCCTCTTTGGAGATTTCCTTTTTGTTTTTGGGAGACTGTGCACCATCATGATTAATAGCCTGCAGTTCTATGGCCTGTCTTCAGGTACTGACTCTGCTACTTGCTTGATGGTCCCTTGGATGATTCTCCAAACCTTTCTAAGGCAATGTGTATCTTCACCTATAAAATGAGATGATCCATGTGAAGCTCTGAACACTGTGCTTGGCTCATTGACATACTGAGCAAATATTAGGGGCCCAATGCAGGGGCTTGAACTCATGACCCTGAGATCGAGACCTGAGCTGAGATCAAGAGTTGGACGCTTAACTGACTGAGCTACCCAGGCACCCCTTAGCTGCCATTCTGATTGTAGGGGACCTTCCCTTCTCTGCTTGTTCTCCTTGCCACCCCACTAACATTGCCTTTTGTGATAGCCTCCTCACACAGCTCCACTGACCACTTATGTACTCTGGTAACTGACAAAGCCTGCTTCTCTTCCAGTATACCTACTGGGGAGAAACGTAAGACCAGTCATCCTATTGCCCAACCAAAAAAGGAATCATCCTAATTGGTTCCTTCTGCCTTGGTTCTGTTCCTGTCTGTCTTCTCCTTTCCATTTCCACTGCTCCTGACTTGGATCAGGCCCTCTCTTCTTCCTTGGTTAGTTGTTTTTACAACAGCCTTCCTGTCTCCACTCTTGCCTAGTCCATTCCGTTGTCTCCACTGCTGCCCCAGTAATATCACTGGGCACAGTCGACATTATTCTTCCCTACTGAAATGTCCCCTAATGACTTCCCCTTGCCTACAGGATGGTCAGCACTTCTTAGCATGGCCATGCAGCTCCTCCTTACCTCCCACCATGACCACCATTTGCTTTTCTCTGCATACTTACTGTTTGTTTCAGTCTGTTCAAACTCTTAATCCTTTGTCCAAAGCACCAGAGTTTTTCATTCTTTCATGTTTTTATGCATGCTGGATTATACCTTCCTGTACTTCTCTGCTTTCTTGAACCTGCCTTGGAAAATCACAGGCAACTTTCAAGACATTTTTTGGGAAGTTTTTCTGATATCTTTTCTTTCCACTCTTCCCAACTCAGCCCCTCCTTTATGTGTATATGTACCCTGATGAAACCTGTGTGTGTGTATACTCTACTGTACTTGATTATTTACGTGCCTGGCATGTTCTCTTGGCTTTTAGAGATCATCACTTTTTCCTAGTGATTAGTACAATTAGTCCGCATGTGGAAAGCATTCAAAAAATGGTTATTGAGTGAATGAATAGACAGACAAGAGAACGAAGTTATCTGTCATGTCAGTCCTAGGTTCTAACACTGAGAGAACCTGTGGTATTTATTCACTTTTTTTTTTTTAAGATTTTATTTATTTATTTGACAGAGAGAGGCACAGTGAGAGAGGGAACACAAGCAGGGGGAGTGGGAGAGGGAGAAGCAGGCTTCCCGCTGAGCAGGGAGCCCGAGGTGGGGCTCGATCCCAGGACCCTGAGATCATGATCTGAGCCAAAACCAAGAGTCGGATGCTCAACCGACTGAATCACGCAGGCGCCCCTCTTCAGTTTTAGATAGAACCTTAACAGGAGTTTTGAAGGACTGCAAAAGCATTTGTTAGTAAAAGTTAATGCTGGGATCCTCCTTTTATCATAAGATAAAAGTTTAGGACTCAGTATTCATAAAGCCTTCTGATTCTAAAGAACTAATGATATTGCAGATTTTGAGGGGGAAGCCTTAAAATATTTTGATGATTAAAAGCACTACATGGGGACGCCTGGGAGGCTCAGTCGGTTAAGCGTCTGCCTTTTACTCAGGTCGTGATCCCAGGCTCCTGGGATCAAGTCCCACATCAGGCTCCTTGCTCAGCGGGGAGCCTGCTTCGGGATCTGCCTGCCACTCCCCCTGCTCCTGCTTTCAATCTCCCTGATAAATAGATAGATAGATAGATAGATAAATAAATAAATAAAAGCACTACATGTATGATAATATAAGCATAACAGCAAACCTTATGAAGCATGTCTTCCAATATATTTTTATAAAGTTCTTTTTTTTTTTTTAAATTTTGTCAGAGAGAGAGCGCGTGCGCACAAGCAGGGGGAGGGGCAGGCAGAGGGAGAAGCAGGCCCCCTGCTGAGCAAGGAGCCGGATGCAGGACTGAATCCCAGGACCCTGGGATCCTGACCAGAGCTGAAAGGCAGACGCTTAACAGAGCCACCCAGGTGTCCCTACTTTTATAAAGTTCTAAATTCAAAGATTTGGCATATGAATTACCAAATATCTTTTCAGGCTTTACCAGGTTATCTTAAAATCCCTAAGTAAATATAAAGAAACAGGACTAGATGAAAAGTTATGTAGTAAAAATACTGCTTGGAGTTGAGTGCCTAGGGCAGGGCATCAAGTTTCAATGCAGGTTCAGCATGCCCTCGATCAAAGTGGCAAGAGACTTAAATGGAAGGAATCCTGCAAGGAAGTGCCCTCTGTGAATCTGGGGGTCTCATCGGGGCATGGACACTGGGGGCGATGCCCAAGGGACGAAGGCCTTGGAAGCCAGACCTTCCCATTAATGGTATTGCAGGTGGACCAGGATAGCTCATGCACTGAATTGGTTCTGCTAATCCAAACTGTAAGTGGTCCTCTTCCCATTTCAAATGGGGTTATCAAATGGTAAATTTATTTAAAGACTGAACATGATATAGAGCAATGGCTTGCTTTGTTATTATTTGCTTTGTCTGTATTGGTCATGCCATGAATAATATCACTGTGTTTCCTGTCCCAGGTTCTTAAAGGCACCGTGGTTGCCTTCCCTGAATTTGATGAGCGGGCTGATGCAGAAACTCTTCGGAAGGCCATGAAAGGCCTGGGTAAATTCAACCTTCCTTTTGTTCTTAAAAAAAAAAAACAACAACAACAAACATATGACCTTTGTTTTTTCAAACAAAAAGTCACTGATTTACAGTAAGATTAATTTTAGAATATTTTATCTGAAATGTATAAAAAGAGGGAAGATACATGAAAGTAACAAAATAATATGACTGATCATCCCTAATATTCAATCTCTAGAACTGAACAGAAAGTTAAATTTGGCCTCTTTGTTTTTTAGCTTTTCAGCTTTACCTGGGAGGTAGCTGACCAAGTAGATAAGCAGACATTCCTGAAAGTGATCAGCTGTGCAGGCCTTTGTCCCCTTTGCCCGATCAGGTGTCTAGTTCTGCAGTCTCTTGCATTCAACTATCTTCTCTTTCCCCAGTCTCCTTTCTAGCCATGTATAAACCTCTCATCTGGAGGATTTCTACGCAGAACTGATCCTCTCTCCTCAGGCTCCTTCTGTATTAGTGTCCATGAGTGGGGATCCACCTTCTTCAAATTTGGTTCTGACCCCTTCTCTCTCCATTCTGAATATCTTGTGAGATTTCTGTTGTAGCAGGATTAGCCTTAGCTTTCTGGCCTTGCACGCCCTTCCTCAGTATCCCAGCCCACATTGTCGGACTCAGCTCATGTTACCACTCCGTGTGTTCTCTGACCCAACCATGCTGGGTTATCTGCTATTCATGAAAACCCTGTATTTTCCTACTGCTGAGCTTTTCTCTCATTTTAAAGGCCTGTCCTCTTAACCTGTATCATCGCCTGATAAAACCCTTCCATCCTTCACGACTCTTTTGGGTGTCACCTTCTCCATGAAGTTTTCCCAAAACTCCTTCCACCTATCAGCTAAGAGAACCTCCTCTGAAACCCCATTCAACACCTGGACCTCTCCTGAGGCACTTGTAACAGTCTGCCTTAGCTCAAGGTTGTCCATGTGTATTTGTATTTTTTACCCTAAATTGTAACTTGAAACCAGGGTCTGTATCTTTCTCCTCTCTTAATCTGCTATAACACTCAACACCTGCCTTGTGAATATCCATTGTTTGAGTAACTATCTGTTGCAAGAAAAACTAGGTGCGCTCAGTTTTTAAAAAGTCAGGAATATTTTTCTACCTACTTCACAATACATCAGGAATAGGGGATAGTTTATATTGAAAATATAACACGTTATATGTTGTGCATTTTGTAGCTTAATGAATTATTTAATAAGTCTATTTTATGAGGTAAGGAATCAAAGTGACTGGGGCGCTGATCCCAAAGGTTATTGAGACAGTGGGCATGGGGGAGCCAAGATGTAATTCTTCGAACATAAATTGCAGGCACTGATGAGGAGAGCATCTTGACTCTGTTGACATCCCGAAGTAATGCTCAGCGCCAGGAAATCGCCGTGGCTTTTAAAACTCTATTTGGCAGGGTAAGACTGCACTTCATCCTAAATTAGAATGTGAGAGCCCCGATATGGTTTAAGGCTAGTTTGAACTCTACGAATATTCCTTTGTAAACATTATTTATTCTATTATTCTGATTTTACTATTCCTTTTCTCTTTATAAGGGTTTTTTTTTTTTTTTTAAGATTTTATTTATTTGATAGAGAGAAACACAGCGAGAGAGGGAACACAAGCAGGGGGAGTGGGAGAGGGAGAAGCAGGCTTCCCGCGGAGCAGGGAGCCCGATGCGGGGCTCGATCCCCAGGATCCTGGGATCATGACTTGAGCTGAAGGCAGACGCCTAACGACTGAGCCACCCAGGCGCCCCATCTTTTAAAGTTTCTTAATTATCAGCTATTGGTTTACAGTGTTCACCCAACTTATCCCCATAATTGTTTTCCCTTGCTTGATGCTACCAAAGTGCCAAAAGATCCCATGGTGATAGCTGCCTCTCTTCTTGCCTGCTTCCTTCTCAGGACTGTTTTATTAGCTATTTTCTAGATGCAAACCTGTATGATAGTCTGTTTTATTGTGACATAGTACATTCTTGGTTCCTCGTGGAGTGGTATTTTAATAAATGTGTTTTTAGTTCATTGATTTAAATGCTCTTATTTGATTAACAGATCAAATAAAAATTAAATTTGTTACTTAAATGAATTACTGTTACTTAAATGAATTACTGTGTATATGAGAAACTTAAACATAATTTTGTTATTCTGAAAATTTGTTTTTATCATTTAATTAAAAAACAAATGCAAAGCAAACAAGCAAACAAAAAGAGTATTCTGAACATAGTTTCTGGTTTCTTATGTGCTGAAACTGGAATGGGTAGGGAATACTGCTTTTCTTTTCATAATTATATTTTCTCCATTGTAGCAGCTGTCTCTTGGTAGTCAGGAGCATAATTATAAACATAATTCATTATGTATTAGAATATTAATAAATATTGAGAGAAAAAATTATTTTGTTTAGGTATGATAGGCTAGATTTTGTCATTTGTAAAAATGCATTTATGATTTTATTTTGGGAAAATTGTTTTTAAAGATAAACGTGTTTCTCAAAACAGTATTTTTAAACTTTCTTTAACCTATTTTTATTCATTTTTTAATTGTGAAGTTCAGAAAAACATTTCTTAAAAACAAATACCTTGACACATAAGTGGCTTTGTTTTAGCTTAAGCTTTAGGTCATGTCAAAAGTACATTATTCAAAACTGGGGTTTTGTTTAACTCACATGTCTTTTGTCTGCTTGGAGATGGCAACATAAATAATTCATTCGTGCAAAGGGCTATGCTTTATATTTAAGAAGAATCTCCTTAAAATTTCTGCCTGGTTCACAGATTTGTATTTTCTGTAATTTAGGACCTTCTGGATGACCTGAAATCAGAACTGACTGGAAAATTTGAAAAATTAATCGTGGCTCTGATGAAACCTTCTCGGCTTTATGATGCCTATGAACTGAAGCATGCTCTTAAGGTAAAAGAATTAGTGAAAGGGACATTCTTGTCATGAATACTGTTATTTTGTGTTGATAATTACACTTAAAAATTTTTGAATTATTTCTGTGAGGGTTTCTTGGAGGACAAAATTGCGTAGGAGGCAAAAAGAAGAAAAGGAGGGAGAAAATTACAAGTGTGTCATTTAATCTTTTTGTATAGTTAACTCAGTAATAGTGGCTATTTAAAATTTTAATATTTTTTGTAGCTCTTTGTATTTTATCTTCATGCCTGTTTTCTAATTTTGAGATGTGTTTAAAAAATGTTACAGGTTAAGTGTTTTATCTTTTAAAATAGAAAGTTGCCTGATTATGAAATAATAATATTGTTAATCATTTTAGGTTAAAAAAATAACACTACAGAGAGAATTTTCAGATAGGAAGGATTTTCTAATACCCTTCCCTTCTTTCCTATACTTCTAAATACTAAAATAGTATATATAATACCAAAATAGTAGCTGATAATCTTATTATAATTTCATTGTAGCAAATAACTAAATGTACATTCCCTCGACTGGTGTTTGGAATATTGTATAAATATGACTACTTTGAAACATTTGTTTAGACTTACGGGACAGGAAGTAGTACAGTCAGTGGTAGATTTTGAATGGGCAAAAGGAAATTTAACAACAAGGAGATAATATAGCACAGGAATTCTTACTTATGGAGTGAAAGGAGAAGAGGCCTTATCAAGTTAGGAGCTTTTCTGTGCTTATTCTCTTCATTTGCCCACAGTGCTTCTTTTGGAGTAAACAAAATCTCAGGTTATTGAAAAAGGGCCTTTTTGTGGAGTACTTCTGAAATGTCAGTAGTAATTGAAATTCTGCCAGAGCATAAACATAGGTTTTTTAGTGCTTAATTTTTTTTTTAAAGATTTTATTTTATTTTATTTTATTTTATTTTATGTATTTGAGAGAGACCACAAGAGGGGGTAGAGTCAGAGGGAGAAGCAGACTCCTCGCCGAGCAGGGAGCCCCATGCGGGACTCGATCCCGGGACTCCGGGATCATGACCTGAGCCGAAGGCAGTTGCTTAACCAACTGAGCCACCCAGGTGCCCCTTGTGCTTGATTTTTGAAAAAGAAACAGAGATATAAAGAGAATAAGGCTTAAATATGCTATTTTTAAAAATTAAGTTCAGCTCTATCATTGCTTGTAGCTTCTAATTTAGCAGTGTAGATAGACTTTTATCAGAAGAAGAAAGAAAACCAACTAAAATTACAGTTAACCTTTGAACGACACAGGTTTGAACTGTACATATACTGATTTTTTACAGTACAGTATAGTTACTGTATTTTCTCTTCCTTATGATTTTCTGAATAGCATTTCTTTTCTCTATCTTACTTTATTGTGAGGATACAGTATGTAATACATATAACATACACAACATGTGTTAATCGACTGTTTATGTTATCAGTAAGGCTTCCGACGAACCGTAGTAGGCTCTTTGTAGTTAAGTTTTTAGAGACTCAAAAATTATACACAGACTTTTGACTTGGGAGGTGGTCATTGCCCCTAACTCCCACGTTGTTCAAAGGTCAACTGTATGTTCCAAAAATCCAGAAAGCATGTTTCAGTTCCTTTGTACTGATCCAGTTCCTAGTAACTAAGCAATGCTACATTTATTATTTCCTTTGGTACAGAATTGGAAATTCCATGGAAAACTTAATTTGAGGGCAGGGGCTTTATGTTTTGAGATACAATTGTTTAAGTGTCAGTGCTCCTCCATGTAAATTTATGTAAAGTTTTCATTTTTACTCTTTCAGTCTTCTTAATTTCATGTTTCATTAACATGTTTTACTTTCAAACTATTTAGAATGAAACTATTTAGAATAAAATTAAAAATTTATATAATCTCTTATGTGTCATATATCACATACATGCAATAAACGTTTTTCATTAGACAAAAAAGGATAAAATTGTCTTTGGAAAGAAAATAAATTGGAAATGTTTTAATTCTGTAACTAATAGAACTTGTATACAAAGAAGTGAATATTAAGTTGGATAGTTTATATAATTATATAATTATGCAATTTGGGTAATATCTATTCTAGGAAAATAACTTTCATCTTATTGACGTATGTTCTCTATTAAAAATAAATCTCCAAACAGGGAGCTGGGACAGATGAAAAAGTACTGACAGAAATTATTGCTTCAAGGACACCTGAAGAACTGAGAGCCATAAAACAAGTTTATGAGGAAGGTAAACATTTGGAATTTTATTTCCCCTTCATCTCCAGTCACTTTTACACTTTTCTAAAGTGAGTGCAGTTCTTCATGGTTACAGGAGGCAGGCCATACGTGATTGCTGAATAAACGAGTGAGCGAATGAATGAATAAGCAACAATTCAAGCTCGTTTTCCTTCAGTAAGGAAAAGACTGCTTTTTCCTGGACCTGTATCTATTTTGGTACTTAAGAGAAGCTTCTGATGAAGATAGGAGTTTACTTTTACGTAGAATTTGCAACTAGTGTAGGGACATACAGGTTGTTTTTCTTTTACATGAACTTCAAGATGTAGGTGGTTTTTCTTCCTGAAAAAAAAAAAAAATCAGTTTTAATGTTAGTAGAAGTTAAGAGTTACCTAAAAGGCCCTTTTGGAATTTGGGAAAAGAAACCTTGTCCAGACCAGAGTTGATGAAAATGTTTGAGTAAATGTGTGTCATTTTAGTCAACGGCAGTGCTTGAATACTCTGCATTTTTTTTTTTTTTAAGATTTTATTTATTTATTCATGAGAGACAGAGAGTGAGAGAGGGGCAGAGGGAGAAGCAGGCTCCCAAGGAGCAGGGAGCCCGATGCGGGACTCGATCCCAGGACCCTGAGATCATGACCCGAGCCGAAGGCAGTCGCTTAACCAACTGAGCCACCCAGGTGCCCTGAATACTCTGCATTTTAATTTTTCTCTTTGGTGTGCCTTACTTTTTTTGTGAAAAAAAAAATCTATCATTTCAATCTGAAGTATGTTCTATGAATGGAACCAAGAAAATGAAATAAAAAGTAAAGTAGAGTGTTCTTTGCTCGTCACATTTTCTGTACCAGACCCTTTCCCCTACCTGACTGAGCAGACTGTTGAGATTATCAGCTCAGTCAGCAGACCAACAAGTTGAGTGCCTTCAGCTAGGAAAATGGGTCCCTGTCTTGGCACTAGTTTATTTATCTTAGAAATGACATTGTAACTCAGCAAATCAGAACAGTGTGAAATTTAAATAATTAACTTTCTGAAGTGCTGGATCTTCTTTCCTGCTTCTCGTTAAAGTTGGATAGGTCCCAACCACTAAGGCAGAGGGGATACATGTAACGTAAGTGCAGAAGATCACCTGTGCGTTTTATTTGATGTCATATTCAAAGATCTCTCTCTGGGGATGGTGACCTTTGTGAGGGAGCCTTTGTGTGCTGGATGACAGACGGGGTGCTGTCACGTACTACGCCCTGGCTGTGTGTCTGGTGGTGCGCTGGCTGTCAGGAATGACACAAAGGGTTCCCACACCATAGCTCCCGTACTCAAGGAGTTTGCAGTCTCTTTGGGAGTGACGTGATTTAGAAACTGACTGCGGCTGTTCAAGGATAGCAGAACCCAAACTAAAGTCAAATACCAAAAAATGTTTCATGCCAGAATTCATTTAGAGCAGAGAGGTCATCCAGGCTCTTGATGTTAGAAGAGGCTCTGTGGTGCAGTCAGACAAGGTTTCCAGACGAGGTAGGTTTTGGGGAGGTGAAGAAAACATTTTTGGCGTGTTCATCCGTTCATCCCTGGTCTGGAATGGCATGGGGACTAGAGTGAGAGCAGTATATGGAAGGAGTGGAAAGAAGCTGGCTGTCATGGAGGGTATGTGCATGTCTCGTGCGGGAGATAAACAGAGTAAATGCAGGCTCTGTTGTTGATGGTTTTACATGACTGGGTGAGAGCTTTGCACTTGATTCAGAGGTGGTGTAATGGGCGGTGGAGTACTGAAGGAAGGAGATTTGAATCAAGAGGCTGATTAGATAGCTATACATGTGGGGAGGTAAGCTAGGCAGTTATGGCCCAACCTAGGTGGGCCATAGGTTGGTGGGAGGTATGACGGGGATAGATTAGAGGGAGGGGAACTATGTGAAATGATTTGATCATTAATCACATACAGGTTTTGTAGTACGCGAAGGGATAGAAGAGTCCTTCAACATTTTGTATTTAGGTAACTGGTTGAAATAAAGATGGAGCTCTTCTAGACATTTATTTATTTAATATTATATTATATATTATATTATATTTAGTTAGCCAGCATGTCATAAGGTTTTGATGTAGTGTTCTAACAATTCATTAGTTGTGTATAACACCCAGTGCTCATCACCACATGTGCCCTCCTTAATACCCATCACCCGGTTACCCCATCCCTCTACCCCCCTCCCCTCTGTAACCCTCAGTTTGTTTCCCAGAGTCCAGAGTCTCTCATGGTTTGTCTCCCTCTCTGATTTCTCTCCATTCAGTTTTCCCTCCTGTCCCTGTGGTCTTCTAGATCTTTTAAAACAGAAGTGTCAGGCTTTTAAAGTTTGTCTGCTTTCAAATAATGATTTTTTTTTTTTAAGATTTTATTTATTTATTTGACAGAGAGAGAGACAGCGAGAGAGGTAACACAAGCAGGGGGAGTGGGAGAGGGAGAAGCAGGCTTCCCGTGGAGCAGGGAGCCTGATGCGGGGCTCGATCCCAGGACCCTGGGATCATGACCTGAGCCGAAGGCAGACGCTTAACAAATGAGCCACCCAGGCGCCCCTCAAATAATGATTAAATATTTAAATGTCTTAGAGCTGCCTTCAATAGCAGCTGTTTGAGTTAGTGAAGAGGGTGCATAGACTTTTGTAGATTCCAGTTCTCCCCTTTCCTGTGGCATTATGTGGAATAACTGGAAATAGAGCTGGGAGGGGGCATATTTTAAAACATCACAGCTGTCTCTCAGAGTTAACTTTATTTGCTGCAGAGGAAAAAATATCTTATTAGGGGAAAGAATGGCCGTGCCTAAAGAAAGAAAAGCTCAGAATTTTAGAGGATAGAAGACCTTTGGAAACTAATCATGTAAAATTTGTGAAAGAAAGCATTACAGAGTTTAAAATTATGATCAATTGTATGTTAGAGGTTTTCCTGTACCCATCACATGTCTACAGAGTATTAATTGCATTGGTTGAGAGTGTTTCTGAATGGCTGAGTCTGGATTTAGGCTTGAATTGAGTGCTTTTGAGAGACTTTAATTTGTTTTCTACCAGTCACTCATTTAAGCATTTGCCTTTAGTCTTTAGAGCACTCAGAGATGGAGTAGAGAACATTTATACTAATCAAATATTCCTTCCTTTATGTCTCCTCCATTTGATTCATGGCAGGATATCTTTTTTAGTTGAAAGAAGCTATAAATAAGTATGAAATTATTCTGTTGCAGAATATGGCTCAAGCCTGGAAGATGACGTGGTGGGGGATACATCAGGGTTCTACCAGAGGATGTTGGTGGTTCTCCTTCAGGTATTGGGTGGAGACTATTTAGAGTTTGATTAAAAAATCTGAAGCTGGACTTGTCTGAATCTAGTTAAGTAAGGTCATTTAAAATTCTTTAATCATTTCTCATACTTGCCTGATTGTGGTTGTATGTTGCCTGTGTTTGTTTGTTTTTCAGAATATCTGACCTAAACTCTAATAGCTAGCTAACTTACGGTTTTGTTTTTTTTTCTGCTTTTTTTATTTAAGATATCACTATTCTCTTTCATTCATAGGATTTAAAATCAAAAGGGTCAGATTGGTTTTGGACAGTGCTGTGTAATGATGTGAAATATTGTAGAATTGCTATCTTAAAATCGTATTATTCCTAAGAGAAAGAGCTTTATTTGCACAATCATCAGGTGGAACTAATTTTCCTTTTGAATAAAAATGCTCATGTAATTCAATAATGTGACATTATTTCTTTTCTTTTCTTTTTTTTTTTTTTTGTGACATTATTTCTTGTAGGCTAATAGAGACCCTGATGCTGGAATTGATGAAGCACAAGTTGAACAAGATGCTCAGGTGAGATGTGATATGTGGTGACTTTATTATGACATATGAATGAAAAAAAGAATCCATGATAATGGAAAATCATAATATAGATTGTGATAGCATCTAAAAATAATGTTATTTATGGGCCCTTTACAAATCATAAGACTCATAAGTATATTTTTCTCATTTTTATCTGGCCAGCTAAATGTTTTGTCCCAAAAGGGAAATGAAATAAAATGAGTTACATATAAATAGTGAATTTTGCCTAGATATATATATATTTTTGGTGATTATGGAACTTCACGAAATGGGTAATTTTACCAAAAAATATAGGTATTATTGATTCCACTGCTAGTGAGGCAGTAGGTGTCTTGGCAGGAGAGGATAAAGAAAAAAGAATGAGGTATTTTAGTGATAAATGGTGTTTTAATACATAGTAGATTATCAGTTACCGTAGTATTTGGGAATTCCTCCACCTTTCTTTCGATAGAATTCTAAATAGGATTGTTCTCTTGTCAGCTGCTTTTGAGTGACTTCCAAATGAAATTCTGTACTTAAGTGGCTTTTAAATCCTAGTATAGTCTCACTATTGTTAGCAAGTAATCAAATCTTAACTATAGAGAACAAACTGATGGTTACCAAAGGGAAGGTGGGCAGGGGAGTAGGTGAAATAAGTGATGGGGATTAAAGAATACACTTATGATGAGCACGGAGTAATGTATAGAATTGTTGAATCACTGTATTGTACGCCTGAAACTAATATAACATTGTATGTTAACTATACTGGAATTAAAATATGTTTAAAAAACTTAAAAACATAAGTAGTCAAATGTGGGAAATATTAGGAAATTTGAAACATGAGACTTGAAAACTGGAAATTGGTAATAAAGGAATTATTTGCATTCATAGAATCACATACCGTAGTCCTGTTTCTCTGGTCACATGTTTCAAGTAATAATTCTTTTTTTTTTTAAATATTTAAAAAAGATTTTATTTATTTATTCATGAGAGACAGGCAGAGGCAGAAGCAGGACTCTGGGATCACACCTGAGCTAAAGGCAGATGCTTAACCGACTGAGCCACCCAGGCGCCCCAAGTAATATATAATTCTGATTGTTAGTCATACACCATTGAAAAAGGAAGAGCCATCTTCACTCCTCCAGTTGACTCTTCTCTATGAAACAACAATTGGATGTGTAATCTGAATTTGCTAATGGGAAAGAGAGAGCATTATTATTCTTTTGGGTGGGTAGATTTTATAATGGTTTCAGAATGCTGTCATCTCTTTGCCTTGCTGGAGACAGAAGGAAAGCAAATGGACATGTACGGGGGACTGTCTATGCAGTATTTGATGCTTCCCTCACTATTCTCCATAAAATGCAAACCTCTTGTGTCACGTCCCTATATAAAACCTTAAAACTTCAGTGGATACCATTATCCTCAGAATAAAGTTCAAGCCCCTAAATGTGATTTATAAGCCTCTTTGTTATCTGCCCCTTGCTTGCTTTTACCTCCAGCCTCTCTTGCTCTGTCTCCACCTGACCCTTCCTCCACCCATTCACCGGACTACTTCCTCTTCAGGAGTCAGTCCTCAGGTTAGTTGTTTATCAGGTATCCCTGTCTGACTCTCCCCGCCCCCAGCCCCGCCCCCCAAGTGGATGTCAGGTGCCCCTTACAGGGGCAGTCCAGCTGCCTTCTATTGAAGCTGTCTATTTACTTGACTGCTTGCCCAGGGCACTCGGAGCTGTCCGTTCAGTTTGTATCCTTTGGATCTAGCATACAGTAGGCACTCAGTATATAACTGGTGAATGGGTTAGTGTATACCTCTGAAGTACAGGGGAATAATTTCTCTTTTATAGATAGAGAAACTGAGGCTCAAGGATTTGAGAATCAAACCCATGGCCACCACTGACCGGTAGTGGAGCTGGGATTCATACCGGGGCCTGTCTAACCCCAAAGCCCTTTCTCTTTCAACTAGACAACGGTCTGTGTTCTTGCCTGCTAGTTCCTCTCCCCTCAGCACCTACACCATATAAAAGGCTTATTAAATGTAGATTGGAAGCACAAATCCAGCTTAACTCTGCCTTCTTGGAGGAAGGAATTTGTGTCCTTGAGAAGAGAGTGCTAGATCAGGCCTTCAAAACTGTACTCCCAACTGTTGGAGACAACGTATTGCTTTCCAAGCATTAATTATTTGTGGGCTTCATAGGAATTGGTGTGATTCTCACCCTCGGACTCTCAAGAGTAGTCTAGATGTTTTTTGGTGGTCACGGTGGAAGAAGCCAACTCTAGTAGTCTCAAATGACCGCAGTGAGGCCTACATTGGTGGGCAGTGGGCTCATTTCCCAGCACAGTTGGTGATGCAATGAGGGGATTGCCGCAGTGTGAGGCCAGGGAGTGGAAACAGTGCATCTTCCCCTCATTTTCATTGATTTCTCTCCTCAGAGCACTCAGTGTATAGCAGTGCTTCTCGGACTTTCAAGTGCTTGTGAATCACCTGGGGATCTCCTTAAACTGCAGGTTCTGACTCAGTGGGTCCGGGTGGGGCCTGGGATTCTGTATTTCTAACAAGCTCTCAGGTGATGCCTCTGGGGTCTTGGGACCACACTTTGAGTACCGGGGCTGTATGGGTGTCACCTACCTGTTGTGCAGAGCATATGCCCATTCAGGACCGTGAAGGGGAACCTTTATACATCTGAAAACTGTCTTATGAAGTTACTTTAAAATATCCCTTGAATAGCGGGGCATGTGGGTGGCTCAGTCAGTGAAGCATCTGCTTGGCTCAGGTCATGACCTCAGGGTCTCAGGGAGCCTGCTTCTCCCTCTTCTTCTGCCCCTTCCCCTGGCTCATGTGCTCTCTCTCTCTCTCTCTCTCAGCTCTCTCAAATAAATAAATAAAATCTTTAAAAAAAAAATCCCTTGAATAGAATTCAGGTTTTCTTTACCCTTTCGGTGATCAGGAACAACAAAGAACATGCTACACTGGCTATTAGTCTTTGATTCTTTAAAATGTATTATTGGGGCACCTGGGTGGCTCAGTTGATTGGGCATCCAACTCTTGATTTCTGCTCAGGTCTTGATCTCAGAGTCCTGAGATGGGCCACCTCAGAGCCTGGGGCTCTGTGCTCAGCAGGGAGCCTGCTTCTCTCCTTTTCCCTCCCGGCCTGCCTCTCCCCCCCTTCACACTCACATGCGTGCCCGCGCGCGCGCGCGTACTCTTCTCTCAAATAAATAAATAAATCTTTGAAAAAAATGTATTATTACTAATGAATTCAGCTTGTTAAAAATAATTTTCCTTTTGGTGTTATGAAAAAGAACACACCCATTTCTTTCTTGTAGCAAGGGCAGCTGGACTGTTGTCACTAATGGGAATTTAAGTTTTCTTAACCGAGAGTAAGCTGAGACAAAGGGCCCTTATATAAGCTTTTGAATTTTTTTCTCTGCTGATACCTGGCACTAAGAGGATTCCTTTCATTTCAGGGATTTGATAAGCCACAGTGAGTCATTCACCTGGGAATTCAACATTTTGTAGATAATTCACTTTACTTTCTTACATTTTTATTTTTATTCATTTATTTATAGTGGTTTTTTTGTTTTTTTTTTTTTACTTTCTTACGTTTTTAATGTGTTAAACTGATTTTACCTCCTCCCTCTCTAAAACCTTCTTTCCTGATCTTGGAGATAAACCTGAAGGAGGGGGAAGAAAGGGGAAGGGTTGGGAATCAATGTTTACTGAGTACCTGCTATTGATTACCTGACACTCTTTGATGCATTAGTTATACAAGTTGCATAATCTCCATTAATGACTCTGTAGAAATATTAATCTTATTCTAGGTGAGGACACGGAGACTCAAGAGATTAACTCATCTAAGATCTCACAGATAAGGATGAGGCCCAGGTCTTTTTGACTCCAAAACCTCTGCACTTTGCACTGAACCAGAGGTTATCAAACTGTGTTCAAATGTAAAGCTCCCTCTGAGGGAAGAGGGGAGGGTGAGGAGGTGTGAGGGGCCCTCATCCAGAGCTGCTCCGTGGATGTTCATCATCCTCATTTAGAAGAAAGCACTCTTACATTAAAACATGACAAAACAAAACTTTTAAATATTCCACATGAAGATTATCATTACTGCATATGATTTACTTAATAGTTTTAGAGTAAATATTGATCTCAAACATAATCCTTTTGAGAAAATGAAGAGTTATAGTTTAAAATAGCCATTTCACAAATTATTCCATATAACAGGCTTAACTGCTGTACCTACCAGAGAAGATTTCTAGAAATATGGAATAGTTGTTAAGAAAGGAGGGCTTCAGGAATGCTTGTAAGTATAGTAGGGGATGTACCCTCTCTCTCGTAGGTATTAATGTGTGTGTATATCTTATCTATGTGTAGAAAACATGTTAGAGGTAGTAACCAATATCTTTGGGATATTGGCCTTCATGGGAATTTTTTTCTTATCCATGTTTTATCTCGTACAAAATTTTTCAGTGAACACATGTTATTTTTGTTATTAGACTTAAAAAGTTACTTTAAGACGGGTCTGTAATACCATGATATAGTTCTAAACTTGAGATACTTGCATGCCTTTCATAGTAAGTCTCTTCTCAGTTTTGAAGAACATGCTCACATAACCAGGATTGATATTACTTATTTTTATCGTTAAATTAATTTCAAAACTGAGTGTAAAGATGTGATACATTTTTCAAAATTCCCTGGAAATACAACAAAAAACGGATATATATCACCGAAATCTACATTCTTAAACACACTATGATCAAAATTTCTACATCCAAACACGTGCTATGATCACACCACCTTCTGTCCTTACTTGGTTTGCCGCTTGTGAGCAGAAAGGCCGCTCCGAGTAGCAGGCTCAGCAGACTGCATTTGTCTTGGTTTAATAGGTGTACTTAACTAGAAATGAACAAAAGGGTAGTGTAGACATTTTAAAGGTTGATTCACTGGGTTTTAATAAATTATCCACATCTCAATAAGTGGACTCAGGTTTAATGATGGTGTTTGTATATAATTTTATTTTTTCAACAATTATATGAACACTAAAAAGCATATATTTTCCATGTAAAAAAAAGTAAATGTAGACACTCAAACTATTCAAAAAGTATATATTAGTTGCCTACTACATGCCAGGCATTGTGCTATACCCACGACCTTTTAAAAATTCGTTATGATCTTTTAGAAATGTGAAAACTCTTTGTAGCTAGTTTTGGTTAAACTGTAGTTGAAAAGAGAAAATACAGAGTTTATTTTTTATCATGTGTTGCTGAACAACTGCCGAGTAAACAACACAAAACGTAGTTAAGCTCCTTTTCCAGTCTGTAAGTGGATGTGTCAACAGTGAGGTAAGCAGAAATTTCTACCAACCACACCATTGCCCCTGAAAGCGTGGAAGTCCCATAGACATTTTGGGAACATTTAATCTTGCCCTGTTGCTGTGATTTATTGCTTTGACTCATTAATCTTCTGTGGCACAGTTCAGTGGCAAGCTCCAGATAGCTCCGAACTCACCTCACAGAGTTTAGGCAACATTAGAATTGAAAAGTAGGGCGCCTGGGTGGCTCAGTTGGTTAAGCGACTGCCTTTGGCTCAGGTCATGATCCTGGAGTCCTGGGATCGAGTCCCGCATCAGGCTCCCTGCTCGGCGGGGAGTCTGCTTCTCCCTCTGACCCTCCTCCCTCTCATGCTCTCTGTCTCTCATTCTCTCTGTCTCAAATAAATAAATAAAATCTTTAAAAAAAAAAGAAAAAAAAAAGAATTGAAAAGTAGAAGATGATGAATCAGGCTAATTAAGATACAGGGAGTGAAACACCAGTGTCATTCAGAACCTGGACATGAGATGGAGAAACGGCTTACTAATTGAGGTTGAAATTTTCACAGGCTTTGTTCCAGGCTGGAGAACTGAAATGGGGGACAGATGAAGAAAAGTTTATCACCATCTTTGGGACACGAAGTGTGTCTCATTTGCGAAGGGGTGAGTGAAAAGAATGTGTATGGTACAGTACTTCGGTTAATTTTGTAAGTACAGAAGCCAGTATGCCAAAATATGTGCTTTATAATAGGCGCTTCCTGAGTGAATCGGTTTTTGTATTTCTTCCTATTGGTAACCTTGAAAAATCTCATCATTCTCTTTGCTGCTGTTGTAGTTTTACAGAACTAGAGATCCTTAGTCCCCGCCTTTGCTGTCAGGGTGACGAGGGAGCTAGGCCTCTGGATTGTTAACTCTCATAGTCACTAATCACTGAGCTGTGGCTCACTTCAAGCATTCCGTCCTAAATGGTGGCACCCACGATCTCTTCGCGAGGCATTCATCAGTTCTTGTGGTATCAGGTGGGAATGAGTTCAAGTGACAGGAAACCCTACTAATTGGGGCCTTAAACACGTGGCTGATTCGGCAGGACCTGGGTGGGCTATCTCTGTTTTTCTGCTTCACTGTCCTTGGTGTTTTGGGGTTTTCTTTCTCATGCCCTGTACCTGATTGTCACAGGAGGGCTACTCTAGCTCCAAATTTATCAACATTAGCAGCAAGAAGAAAAGAAAGGGGTAAACTAATCATATCTGTTTATCGTTCTTGATAAGGAAAGATTACTCAGAATCCTCTCTAGTAGATTTACCTTTGGGTTACATTGGTTATAACTAGTAAGTAGAGGCTGGGAACTCAGTGAACAAAGAGCCTTTATAATCCATTACTTAGGGCTTGGGTATATTGAAGCTCTGTGACAAAGTCAGGGTTCTGTCAGCAAGGAAAAAGGGGAGATTTGTATTCAGTGGGACAATACCTGGTTAGAGTTAGTATCTTCTTTCTGTACAGAATAATCCTTACATGATTGAGAAATCATTTTCCTTTTTTATAGTGTTTGATAAGTACATGACTATATCAGGATTTCAGATTGAGGAAACCATTGACCGAGAGACTTCTGGTAATTTGGAGCAACTCCTCCTTGCTGTTGGTAGGTGGTGTTACAATGTATATAATATTAATGGTGTTAAGAGCTAAAGGGTTCCATTCAGTTGAAGCTGTATCTGAAAATAACCACTTCTTTATGATACCTGAGCGAAGCAAACTCCCACGTTTCCAATTCAAAGTCTGTTTTGATATTGGAAATACATGATTATCTGGTTAGTTCATGTAATCCTATGGAGATACTAAAGCAACTGTTTATAAAAATCATTTTGAAGCTTTATTAAAATATTTATGAATCCAAAGTGTGGGCATTATCTCAGAGGCTTGTAAATATTGTTTCTGATACTGGGTGGAATTGTAGTATCCTTTTGAATACTGTCCTCACAGCTTTGAGGCAGACTGAGAAATTGGCATCTGAGCTAGAAAAAGTATCTTTTGTATGATGGAAGATGTGATGATGGTTGTTTTCAGATTACTTTGGAAATTTATTTTAGCTAAATATTCAGAATGATCTGGAAAAATTGGAGAACTGAGTTTGTGCAGTTCATGGTAGTATTATATACTGTCCAAATCCAGGGAGAATCTAGTCTGTGAGTTCCCAGGGACCCTAGTTTTCATATGGGTTTGGAGTGAACCTCTGTTTGTTCTGAGTATTTGGCATTGGGCTCGAGTTTTTGTGCTGTCTTCTGGAGAATAAGCTAAAGTTGTGCATGAACCGGCACTAATAGTAGTCTTTGATTTGAGTTCCACACTTAATGAATTTTAATAGAAAACTTTCGCACAACCCCTTCATAATTAGAATACACTTAAAATAATGGCATTTTTAGTTACTGTTTGAGTTTTGTTTAAGCACTGGAAGAGAGATTAACTCCACCCCCCAATTAATGAATTGTTAATTTCTCTATATTAAGGAATTTTTATAGGGATAGTTTCTGAAGCTGAGCTGACTGAGGTCTGAGCAGCCCTAACACAGAGTAGATACATACATACATGTTCAGGGAAGATACTCTTTTCTGTTACCAGTTTATCTGGGTGTCTCTCCTGAATTGCGTAAGTCTCATGCTGCTCTATGTGAATCATGGATAGTAAGGAATCTGGAGAGAATACCTAGGGTAAGATTACAGAAAGATAGTCCCAAGATTTGTCAAAGATTAGATGGAGTGGGTACCTTGTGTTATTTGCTTGAATATGTTGGATCAAAAACTTTCAGGATGTTTGTATCCTTTCCTGAAGGTGAAGAAGGTTGTGGTGTAACAGCCCAGACTGCCCAAACTGATAGCAGAAAGGTGCTCAGAACAGAGGGGTGTTGAAAACCTCACACGCCCTGTCCTACACGACTTTCTCTGCAGAACTCGGAACTTTAAGGAAATTCTATCCAGTTTTTAAGAAAATACTTGGTGAATATGGAGATCAGATCAGCCTGCAAATGAGCAGTTTTTTAGCGTAGGTTACTTTTATGCTTGTAAATAAGTAGAGCAATAAGCATGAAGCAAGTTTTGATTTTTAATCACTGTTTCTTTTCCTATCAATATAGCATCTGACCATATTATTTATTTTCTTAGTGAAATCTATTCGAAGTATACCTGCCTACCTTGCAGAAACCCTCTACTATGCTATGAAGGTAAGTGCATATCTTGAATCTTCCATCTAATTAATTTATCTTTCTAGCTATCTTTCCCTGTGTATTATTATGATTTAAATGATAGACTTTGGGTTTGTTTGTTTGTTTTTTAATTCTCCTAAAACATGCAGTTGATTTCTACCAAATTGTTTTACTTTCTCAATTCATCTTAACTCAGGGAAGTTTGATGCTGTGTTTGACATTTTGAAAGTGTGCCTCCCTTTTTTTCTTTCTTACAGGGAGCAGGGACGGATGATCATACCCTCATCAGAGTCGTGGTGTCCAGGAGCGAGATTGATTTGTTTAACATTAGGAAGGAGTTCAGGAAGAATTTCGCCACCTCTCTCTATTCCATGATTAAGGTAGTAGAACCTTTGTTTAAACTATGTTCAGAAATTCAGAGCAGACCAATAGATAGCATGTAAGACAACAGATGGGAGAACCCACTTGTATAAAGTTTCAAATTTTAGTGGCGTGATTAGAGCCATGACTTATAAAGCTTGGCTTATAATATTTCCTTAAAGTACAGATGATGGCTCCCAAGTGAAAGATGGGCTCTTGGTGGGGCTGAAGCTCTCGGGGAGCTTAGGAACATTATTTAGTAGTGGTGACAGATGACTCATCAAACCCAGCCCCCGCCACTGAAGATAATGTGTTTGTTCTTTCTCTCTTTTATCAGTTCCAGCTGTCCTTATCAGTGCCTCCTTCCTTTCACTTCGGTCTTTCTTCATTGTCTGTTATCACCTTGTCTCTGGTATTAGTTCATAGTTCAGGAAAGAACCAGCCAGGTCATATCAGAAATAAGTAAAGAGTTTAGGTATTACTATCATTTTTGTCTTTAAAAGCTAGGGAGACTGTGGCCTATATTTAAATTTGGCTTAAGGCCTTTTGACTTTCTTTTCTTTCTTTCTTTTTTCCCCTTTCTTTTCTCTTTCTTCCTTCTTTGGATAAAAGGGAAAATGGGCCATATGCAAAGCAGGATCTCAACTAAGCAAGCTTTGAACTTTGTGTGTAGGTGTGGCTGGGTTGAAGGGCACTAGAGACTTCTCACATGCACTCTTTGCTTGAAACATTAATTTATCATATATATCTGTGTGTGAGGTAAGCTGAGGTAAAGCATATCCTGCCCCTCTGTCTTTGAAGCAAAAACATAAGAGCCACACAGTCCCAGGATTGCCTCCCTTAGCCAGACACATAATATGTGATAGTAACTTAAAGGTTTAGAAAGCTCGGTTTGAATGTCATTGTAAAAGCTTCCTTGTTCTCTGCGTTACCAGAGGGACGAACATACTTCATTGTCTCAGAGCTGTGCCTTTAAGGGGTAAAATTAGAAAGTTAAACACATGTTACATTGGTAGGAAACTCCTTGTATAACATTCCTGATGTGAAAGTCACATACACAGAGATTATCCACTTGGGAGCAAAGTCGCATGAATAAAACTTGTTGCCAGACACTTAGTTTTTGATTTTCTGCGGCTTCTATGACTCATGGAGGGTAACGGAGTACATTTGGGTTTCAGGATGATACGTCTGGGGACTATAAGAAAGCCCTCTTGCTGCTCTGTGGAGGAGAGAATGACTGAGATAACCAGCTGGAGAGAGATCCTGCGCTGTGCCTGCCACGGCTGCCGCGACCTTCCTAAGCCTCTCGTTGTGCTTGTTTGTATGCCCGAGCCTGACACATTGCCTTATTCATACTAGCATGCTAATGACCAAAACATACATGTTGCAGAAGAGAAATAGCGGTGCTTCTTGCTGATGTTCAGTAAAGCTCTTTCTCTTTGTCTTTTGTAGTACTTACGTTACTAAAGTCTAAAGTCTGGGTCATTTAGATTTTCTTTTAGAAGATCCGACTGCTTTTAGCCTTTTTAAAAAACTTCATTTATATTAAATTGATAACTGTATTTCCTTAATCAGAACCTTAGCCTTAAAATGATGAACTCCTGGAAGTGTTATTAATCAAGTTTGCTACTAAACTAAACCTGAAAAATTATGGTGGTTGCATTCAAAAGATTAATGAGAAATAAACATTTCCTTCCCCCTGACTCGTGTGGGTGTGTGTTCAGAAAAACTTTTTAAAAATTATTTTTATTTGATTATGGTTGATACAAGGTTCCTTTAGTTTCAGGTGTACAATATAGTGATTCAGGTTCTCTGTGCTGTGCTCATCACAAGTGTGGCCACCATCTGTCACCATGTGACACTGTTCCAATATCATTGACCATAGTCCTTATGCTGCTACTTTTATTCCTGTGACTTCGTCATTCCGTAACTGGGAGTCTGCGTCTCCCACTTCCCTTAACCATCAGTTTGTTCTCTGTATTTTTATAGGTCTGATGCTGTTTTTTCATTCAAACAGTGCTGCAAAGACAGAGGGGGGCAAGATAGGCTTTACCTCTGCTTATCTCACACACAGGTGCTGTTTGTTCATTCATTTGTTCTTTAGATTCCACATGTGAGTGAAATCAAATGCTATTTGTCTTTCTCTGTCTTATTTCACTGGGCACAATACCATTAACAATGATACCTTTTTTAAGCTATATATATATATCACTGTGTAAGTTTAAAGTATACAGCACAATGAATTGATTTATATATATTGCAAAATGATTACCATAATACATTTGGTTAACACCCGTCATCTTATAAAAATTAAAAAAAAATTTTTTTTCCTTGATGAGAACTCTTAGGATCTGTCTCTTTCTAATATACCGCATAGCAGTGTGAACCATAGTCATCACATTGTACATTACATCCCCAGTACTTATTTATCTCAAAACTGGAAGTTTGTACCTTTGACCACTTTCATCCAATTACCCCATTCCCCATTTGCCCATCTGGTGACCACAAATCTGATCTCTTGTTCTGTAACTTTGGTTTGTTGATGTTGTTTTTTTTGGATTCCACATGTGAGCTCATAGAGTATCTTTTCTCTGACTTATTTCACTTAGCATAATGTCCTCAAGTTTCACCCATGTTGTCACAAATGACAAAGATTTCCTTCCTTTCTGTAGTTAAATAATCTGTTACATATCACATTTTCTTTATCCATTCATCCACTGATGGACAATTAGGTTGCTTCCATGTCTTGACTATTTGTAAATAATGCTGCAGTGAACATGGGTTGTCTCTCAAACCTTTGTGATTGTCCAAGCAGCCTACTTTTGTTCTCAGTGGCTCTCAGGAGTTGAAGGTGTGCCAAGACCTATTAGTGTCCTAGAGTGGGGGATCTCAGTCATTACCTAGATTGAGGCTGATTGGAATCCAGACTCTCAGCAGCTTTTAAGGTATGCAAAAATACCTTTGTCAGGGGAAGACTGAGAGATGGGCATTTCTGTTTGCCTCTTTGCTCTTTGCACTGAGTCCTAGGGTGATGGCCAGTTAAGAACTGTTTCTTAGTTTGTTACTCTCCCGTTGAACTGGTGAAGAGAGCCTTTCTGGCCTCCAGAGCCAGGTTATCAAGGGATTTGTCCTCTGGAATTGGCCACGAAAGCTGGTGCCCCAGGCGTCTATAGAAACTCCTTTCTGGAGTATTAACCTGGAGTGGGGCTGAGGGAGGAAATGAGGACAGCACCTGTCAGTCTGCCTGATTGGTGGAGAGGATTGTAGTCAGCCTCTAGGCGTCTATTTGATTAGAAGCTACCCCATAGGCCACAACTATAAAGATAAGCTAATAGGCCTCTTTCACAGAAAGACTGGGCACGTGTTTCACTCTGCTAGCTCTGTGCTATGCCCTGGGGCGGGTAGCTGGTGGAAACTATTTCTCCATTTGTAACAGCCCTTCAGGCCCTGTGAGCACAAGCCATGCTGGCCACCAGAGCCAGGTGATCAAGAGGTATCCCCTGGTGGCAGCTATAACAATCAGACGAGTGCACCAGCTCCCACCCAGGAGCACCAGTGAGCCAGAGCAAGGTGGTGGGAGGCGCAGAGAGAGCGCCCATTGCGGTCTCTGTCACCCAGAGCACCTTGGTAGGCGTGGGGGCTGCTAAACCAGAAGCCTGCCCCTTAGGCTGAAGCTCTTAGACAAGCAAATAGGCCTCTTTCACAAAAAGATTGAGGGTGGGTTTCAGTCTGCCCTCCCTGTGCTTGGGTGTGGTAGCCGCCCGCACCATCTCTTCCTTTGATCCAGACCCGTGCTTCCCACGACCCCTAGCCCTGCTGGCTGCCAGAGCCAGGTGATCAAAGGGATTGTCTCCTGGGTGGCAGCCTTGAAAATGGGGGCACTGGAGATCCTGATCACACAGGGGGAGATTGAGAAGACAATGCCAGTCCTCTGAGGTCTTTGGAGAGGATTTTTTAAAAAAATTTTATTTAGGGTGCCTGGGTGGCTCAGTCAAGCGTCTGCCTTCGGCTCGGGTCATGGTCCCAGTGTCCTGGGATCGAGTCCTGCATCGGGCTCCCTGCTCCACAGGAAGCCTGCTTCTCCCTCTCCCACTCCCCCTGCTTGTGTTCCCTCTCTCGCTGTGTCTCTCTCTGTCAAATAAAATATTTTAAAAAAAATTATTTAAATTCAATTAATTAACATATAATGTATTATTTGTTTCAGGGCTACAGGTCTGTGATTCATCAGTCTTCTATAATACCCAGTGCTTTGGAGAGGATTATAGTCAGCCCTAAGGGTGTGTGTTTAATTTAAGCAAGCCTGCCCCTCAGGCTGCAGCTGTGATGAGACCTACTAGGCCTCTTTCACAGATGAGGCTCCCCTCTCTGTCACCTCTCTACTGTCCCCTGGGGGTGGTGCGCAGTTAAAAACTCCTTCTCTGTTGCTTACAGTCCTTTGGGACCTGCGAGCGTCAGCCCTGCTAGCCACCGGAGCCTGGTGATCTAGCGGTGTCCCCTGGGTGGCAGATGCACACAACGGGACTTCCCAGGAGTGGACACATGCCTTTCTGGGAGTTACTGGGGACCTGGAGTGAGGCAGAGGGAGAGTACAAAAGTGGTGCCTTGCACACCTCCCTTTTTGGAGATGATTTCCTTAGATGTGCATTAAATTAGATGCCTGCCCCTCCGTGCTGATGCTTTAAGATAAGCAAAATAGGCCTGTTTCACAGAAAGTCTCGGTGCTTTTCGGTTGGGTGCCTCTGTGCTGGCTCCCGGAGTGGGTGAGCCCGCATGAGCCCTGTAAGAACTGTCTCAGTTCGCCAGAGCCTTGTGGGTCCTGTGGATGCGAGCCCTGTTGGCTTTCACAGCTAGATGTTTTGGGGGCTCATCTCTCAGGTGCAGGGCTTAAAAGTTGGAGTGCCAACTGTGGGGTTCAAACCGTGTGCTTCCCAGGGAGAGGCTCAGGGTTGTGAGTTCCCTTGCGGCTGTAGGTTGTAGCTTCTCCTTCCAGGGGTGTGGTTTATGGGGAGATTGTGCCGGTCTCTCCTGCCCATTCCCAGGTGGGTTTTTTCTTGTTTGCCGAATGTGTAGCAGTCACTCAACTAGTTTTTTGTTTTTGTTTTAGAGGAAGAGAGAGAGCACGAGCAGGAGGAGGGACAGAGGGAGAGGGAGAGAGGAGAGAGAATCTTGAATAGACTCCACACTGAGCTTGGAGCCTAACTCGGGGCTCAATCTCACGACCCCGAGATCATGACCTCAGCCAAAATCAAGAGTCAGATGCTCAACAGACTGAGCCACCCAGGCGCCCCTTTGTTTTTTGTTTTTTTTTTAAGAGGAAATTATTCCATATATAGTTGTAGATTTGGTGTGTCTGTGGAAGGAGGTGAGTATTCTTTTTTCTATTGATAAGGTGAATTATATCAATTGATTTTCCAATGTTAAGCAATCTTGAGTTCTCAGGATCAATTCCACTTTGCCATGATGTATTATCATTTTAAAATACTGCTGGATTTGTTTTGTTACTATATTTTTGAGAACTTTTTCTGTGTTGATGGGGCATACTGGCCTGTAGTTTTCTTTTCTTGAAATATTTTTGTCTCGTTTTGGTATCAGAGTAATACTAGCCTCATAAAATAAGTTGGGAGTGTTTCTTCCTATTCTGTCTGTGTGAGAATTTGTGTAGACTTGGCAAGAAAATTTTACTTATATGTTTGGTAGATTTTCCAGTGAAGTCATTTGGGCCTGGAATGTTTTTTGGAAAGTTTTAAACTGAAAAATCGAATACATATAATTTTTTTTAATTAAAATGAAATGTTTACTAAGAATCTATCTCAAAATTAATCATTGCACATCACTGGGTGTTGGCAGAAGAGTTGAGAAATAAGATGCCCTAAAATATTCTGTACTCTATTTCCAATTGTTATAAACAATTTTGATCATGTCAGTCTTTTTTTTTAAATTTAAATTCAATTAATTAACATACAATGTATTATTTGTTTCCAGGGTACAGGTCTGTGATTCATCAGTCTTATATAATACCCAGTGCTCATTACAACACATACCCTCCCCAATGTCCATCACCCAGTTACCCCATCACTCCACCCCCCTTCCCTCTAGCAACCTTCAGTTTGTTTCCTATGATTAAGAGTCTCTTATGGTTTGTCTCCCCCTCTGGTTTTGTCTTGTTTCATATAATTTTTAATACATAGACATCAAATATATATCTATATAGATCACAAACTTAGTGGCTTAAAATAACACAAATTGTCGTATAGTTCTAGAGATCAGAAGTCTAAAATAAATCTCATTGGTTTAAAATAAAGGTGTTGACAAGGCTGTGTTCCCTTCTGGAAGCTCTAGGGGAGAATCCCATTTCCTTGTCTACTTCAGCTTCTAGAGGACACCTGCATTTCTTAGCTCTTGGGTCCTTCCTCCATCTTCAAAGCCAGCATTCTCTTTAATTTCTGCTTTCTGTCCTCACATCTTTCTCTTACTCTGACTCTTTCCGTTTTGAAGGACCCTTGGCAACTACATTGCCCCCCCCCCCCGATAATCCAGGATAATCTCCCCATCCCAGGATCACATCTGCATATTCCTTTCTGTCATAGGAGGTCACAGATTCTGAGGGTCAAGACAAGGACACATATATTTTTTGGGTGGGGGACATTTTATAGATGGTTTCAGGAAATGATTTTGTAGCATACCCAGGATTGCCTCTGTTAGG